AGATGAATTACAATAATCCTATTTAGCTACAATGTGTTTTTTAAGACCTCTGAAAGATTGATTTAAGACATTTTAAGGCTAATTAAGGTCTTATTTTTGGATTGATGAATTCAATGCATTTCAATGTTTTTTATGAATCTGCAGGAACCCTGATATGAATGGCAATATTGAATGAACCAAGGACACAGTGACACATACTATAACATTTTTAGTAGGAAAGAATGTATCTGGTTCTTCTTGGTTATTTCCATCCTGTGTCACATCAGGTTTTCAGTTTCTTGCCACTTTATATAGAAGATGTTAGAGTAAAGTGTGTATCTGATAACAATGAATGACCGAGTCTTTATTTGACCAAGTCTGCATGTTTCACACACGAGTTTTACATTTGGATTATTTATTTTTTTTGCTTTATTTCTACAAACCTGGGTGTGAAAATGACTCAACTTCTTCGTAGGTGACAGACATGACCGGCTGACTGAGTTTCTCCAAAAAGTCTGAGATGGTCTGGTAGGCCAGGAAGATGGCCACGGTGGTCAGCAGCAGGTAGATGAAGATGAGCAGCACAGTGAAGACGTTTTTCACGCAGGCTTTATTGAACCTCATTGGAGGACTGTTCCCCCTAACCTCATCCTCTGTAAGGAGAAAGCAGGTGGGTTTAGAGAGAAAACAGGGAGGAACATTTTTAGCCAGCTTGTATAAGCTGTTACCCTGTAAGTCTAAGTCCTGTTGGCTTTGGGTCTTTATGAACTCAGAACCAAGAGAGACAAATTCAATATAAAGTTGTTATATTGCGCTCATTACCTGGTGTGATGCTGCCGTTGGGCTCCTCAGGTTCCAGGTCTTCATCAATGTCATCAAAAAAACCCTGAGACTGAGTGTTACCGTCACTGTCATCATCATCATCATCATCGCCATTGAACTGTTCAGTAAAACAAGAGTCATTTAATAAAACAATTATTTATTTAAGTAAACACACAGCAAATTGTTTTTGAAACATCAAAAATCAACCTGTTGAAGTTTAAGGTTGGAGCAACAATGTGTCTCTTTCCTTAAARGAAATGCCCTCCGTCTGGCTATTCACCCATCTTCAGATGGATAACTGAAGTACTGGTTTCCATTAAAGTGTGGCTRCATCAATTAGGTTGCCAACTATCCAACATGGCCACTGCCAAACAGAGTTCCCCCTACCGAAATCCCCACACCCCACCCCACCGATGAAAGTTGTTACCAYCAGATGCCAGATGTGGAGTGGAAATAATGGGGCAACAGCTTCGACCTACCACTATCAGCATAACTACTGACATTTGTCAGTACTTTTACACAACATACATAAATTTCATGCTATTGTGAAAATTCACACACACACACACACACACACACACACACACACACACA